TCCAAGAGAACGTTGTCAATCAAAATTGTAACCTGGTCTTCTTTAGCACTTCTACGTTGTGCTGCTTTTTGTCTCATGCCTCGATCAGCGACAATTTTTGTAAGCATTCGCAGGTACACCGCCTGACTGTATAGAGTGCAGTCTCCGTACAGCAGATGTGTATTTTTTGCTTGATATGTCTTTTAGGATAATCCAGCTTCAAAGCCTCCAACTTTTTCCTTGTGGGGAAATCACCACATGCGTTAGCTTTGAAGCACATTTCACAGACAACATCATCATCAATTTCACGATATTAAAAAAATACCCCCCAGCTTGACAGTCCCCTCTGACGACGAATCCGGAAAATTCATTTAGCCATTCCTTTTTTAAAATTTGATGTACACTTTTTCTTAGCAAGCAATAGCACTGCCAGTTCGATTAACTGACGTATAGGCATAGTGGTTAAAACATTGTTAAAATAATTAGCTACTACATTTATAATAAACTAGAGATATGCGATTTATTGACTTTATACACATTCACTGCGCAGTATGCGCTACGACATTGACATGAATGACGGCGGGGGCTCAGATCGAGGTTAGCTTGATCCGATATGTATTGGTAAGTATGTAAATCAATATTTCTACGTAAAAATAAAGATCTGAATCAAATTAAAAAAGATGGATGTAAATATTATTTTAAAAAAACTGAATAATTCCGGCTGCATATTGCAGCGTATGTGTTGAAATGTTTATATAAAAATATAAAAAATTTGCTTCGCGGATAATTAAAAGTGCTTCGGTGTGTCTGTGAGATAGCTGCGCGGTCGCGCAGCTCAGAGGGAGCATTGGAAGGAGAGTGTTGTTGAAAAGGCAGGGAGGTACAGGGTTTAAAACATCACAAACTTCATTTATTATGGGAGTGTGTATATGGTTGGAAGGATTCGGGGGGGAAGGGGGGTGGGAGGGGGAGTGAATGGGTTAAAACTTGAACTTAATACATTCATTTTTGGAGGCCAAAGATGATGAAGTGTGTCTCTTTCATTCAGTTATTATACATGTTCCTGCTTAAAAGAAATCAAATTTAATTATACAGCATACAAATGTTGCATTTACAGATAGAACTGACCCCGCAGAGACGACCGAATAACTAGAGTGGTCCCCATCGTGTTAAAAAAAAGGCAGCAGATAGGTCAACAAAATAAAACCTTTTCAAAGAACAGGTCGGAGCGCTTCCAAGTGTTTGATTGAATCGTATCTTTACACTTTAACAGTTTTAATACAATTTGGTAAAAACAAACAATCTTGAAAGAACAATATTTACAAAAAGGATATTTAAGTAGAGCAGACAAGTATACAAGCCAAAGAGGCGCAGCTAGGGTGGGGACAGGAGACAGATGTCCCTCAGTGCCAGACTGGTTGGGGGGCGCCAAAAATTGATTTTTTACATTTTCAAAAAAATTTTATGAAAATAATGGGTTTGAGAGTTTAAAATAAATCTTGTCCCCGGGCACCAAACACTCTAGCTACGCCTCTGACGAGCCAACGTTTGAAATAAAGAAACATGGCGACTACACCAAAAATATTGAAGACCAACTCACGACTTGTAGATCTCGCCCGTTGATTTCATCACACTCCTGTCCGTGTCGATGAACAAGGACACGCGCTTCCAGTTGTATTTTTGGCACAGGTTGACCGTGAACTTGACGAGCTCGTACTTATCGAACGGGTGCAGCGAGACGAGGTTGGGGAACAGCGTGCTGTTACGGGTGGTCCTGTCGTTGCCCCGCGGGGTGATCACCGGCAGGTTCCACATTAGGGCCATATACGCTAGTGGGACGACGCCCTCGTTGGAGACTAAATGGAAGAGGCGGAGATGGACAATGATGATTTCACTTTAAAAAGTTAATGTGGTAGCACTCAGTAGCAGCTAGTGTTAGCACTCAGTAGTTGCAAGTTTTAGCACCCAGTAGCTGCTAGTGGTAGCACCTAGTTGCTTCTGGTGTAACATCCTGTAGCTGTTAGTGGTAGCACCCATTAGCTGCTAGTGGTAGCAGAAAGTAGCTGCTTGTGTAAAACCCAGTAGCTGCTAGTGGAAGCACCCAATAGCGGCTAGTGGCAGTATCCAATAGCCATAGGGCCAGTATAAAAACGTTACAAAGACTTTACCGATGTTTATTATTTATTGCAGTAAAATAATCACTAATTTTTTTTATATCTGAAAACCATTGTACACTTAGCAGACAAAATAAACGTATAAGAAAAAAAGTATTAATAAAACGAAGCAATGGTCTACAACAGCGGTTATCAACCTGTGGGTCGCGACCCCTTTGGGGGGTCGCGGGACCCTTTTCCAGGGGTCGCCTAAGACCATCTGAAAACACATACCCTTAGTTCTATGAAGTAGCAACGAAAATAATTGTGTGGCTGACAATCTGTATTAAAGGGTCGCGGCACTAGAAAGGTTGAGAACCACTGGTGTACAATTAAAAAAAAAAGACCTCAGTTAATAATCAATAACAGCTGAATTCCGATGTGTTGAACAGATTGGTGATGCTAATTTAACAATATGTTTTCATTTGGTTAGTGGGGTTAGCGGAACCTTATATAGCAAACGATCATAAAATATTCCTCACTAACATATGACTGGTCAAAGTAAAAAAACTGAAGTACTCGCACATCATCTATACCAATGAAAATGCTAAACCACGGCTTGACCCAAAAAAAACACAAGATTGTGTGACACGGAAAGCTTGATCATGGCTGGTGGTATGCTGGTAATCAGAAGGGAAAAAAAAATTCAAAGACAAGCTGAAGGCTTCATTGAAAACGATCTGAATAAAACTAGACCCTTGGTGGAAGGGGAAGAGGGACGTCAAAGAATGAAGTCTCTCCTCGCCCCGCAGTAAATGAAGGACCCGCATACAACTCGAACCAAACAGAGCATCTGCTGCAGAGCACAGGACAATCTTGAAAAGTCGGGAGATTCCCGATCTATCCATTACACATAATGCTCCACAAAACGTCTTATCAGAATTGGTCTCATCAGCTATCTGCTCACACACAAACGAAAGACCAGTCTCAGCACCAATCGATTCATTTTTAAGTGATGCTCGTCGAGTCAACGGACGAACCTGACTGTCCAAACATTGAACTATTTTATAGTTACCTGGTCCAAAAAAGACATCCACTGTGTCCTTATAATACTCCTGAGCCGCCAAGGCGCCAATCTGAGATGGGCCCGACAACGTCTCCACGTGTTTGAAGGAAATGTTAAGGTACTCCCCGAAACTCGCGTGGGCCTCCTCCAGAGCCAGCTCGAAAAGAGGCTTCACATACCTCACGTAATACGTCGTCCCGTTGTCCAAGGCGCCGGAACTTTCCATCGCTACTATTTGGATCACAGGTCTGGGATCCTTTTGCTCCCGAGACAGCGAGACGATGATTGCGATGACAGATATTTTGAAAATTTCCATGATGGAAACAATGAATTTTAACCATCAAATTCATGTAATCCACAAAATAAGTCTAGAGGAAAGAATGTTTTAATATTTAATCTCTTAAAAAGTTTGTAATCGAATTTCAAATGAACCATTTACTAGTTGTGTCTCTTTCCTTTTAGATTAAACTAATCACATGGAATAGCGGATTCAAAAATATTCATTTAAATTTCATAATTTCGGTAACATCAAAGACTCCAGAAATATGAATCTTGCCTGAGCATTAAGACATCAAGCCGGGAATGATATCATTTCCAGGCTCAAAATAGACTGTCGATTGACTTCAGAATTCCAATTATTTTTTTATCCATATTTAAATAGTGTTTTTTTATTTATTTTTTAAAGCGGAAGCTTAAGTCGTTAATTAAAGTTGCAAATGTTCGTGCAAAACCAAAAACCGGAAACAAATTTTTTTTTAATATATATATAAAGCTCGCTGTGATGAGCACACACATCAATATGCTCTGCCACTGACTCACGTTATACAATTGTCAGACCCTCAGACAGCATATGAATGACGAGTGTCACACAAGAAGTAAAAAAAATATTAAAAAATCCCCAACGCGTTACGGGTGCAACAATGGTTGTGCGGATTCGTCCACCGCGGAGCGAATGGCAGAGAGCCAGCAGCGTCATTGATTTAGGACCATCGGTGACTTTAGTCAGGTTTTTATGTGTTGATCGCCGTAGTCATGGCAACGTTAAGTCGCGGGGGATAACTCATCATCCGCTCGAGTGTTCTGAGGGTGCATCAGTCGTCGTTCGCACCATATCCCTCCGGCGGGCGATTCAGCGTATAAGGTGATGCATGGCGTCCCCAGAGATCAGTGGAACCGAGGGAAGCGGAAAATTCTGTTGGTGTTTTAAACTCTTTGAACTTCGAGGTTCAGCTGTGTTTGTTTGGACAGGAATTCTAGTGAACCAACGAATGAAAACGTGCGGCATTAGGTGTCTGGTTTAAACAGTTTCAGGGGTGGGGGTGGGGGAGGGAGTTTCTGTTCTCTATGTATGTGTCTTTTGTTGTTGTTTATTTGTCTCCATCTCCAGCTTAAACGGAAACTCCAACTACAAGAGATCGCGAAATTTCGTCACCACATGTACAAGGGGATCAGCTGTGGCATAGGCCGGGTCAGGCGGAATGTGTCGTCGCGATTTTTCGTACCAGAATTCGGATGAAGTATTTGAAGGCACAAGTCAGACCTTCCTCCTGACTTGGAGGCACAAGTCAGACCTTCCTCCTGACTTGGAGGCACAAGTCAGACCTTCCTCCTGAACTCAGACTTTCTTGGATACCGAAAAGGGTAATGAGCTTTTTTTATTAAAGAAAAAAAAATATTTTTGCCTTCTTTTTTTTTTTTAAACTATATTAATTTCAACATGATAACATTATCATCAACAATAAATATCCGTTGTTGTTATTCTAGAATTTTACGACGGCTAGTTTTGGTGCATAAAACTCTTCAGTTATTTAAATAATTATTTAAAAAGAATGAAAAAACAAACAAGAACAGCAATTTAAAAACGGAGATTCACGAGTTGGTATATATTTGTATTTAAAAGACATGTTCATAAATGTTAAAGTTCATCTCTATTATAAAGGTACACCATGTATTTTATGTCAACGTACTGAAAAAAAAATGGCCGGAGATGGGTTGATAAAGATGGGTTGGTAGAGATGGGTTGGCGGAGATGGGTTGGTAGAGATGGGTTGGTAGAGATGGGTTGGTAGAGATGGGTTGGTAGAGATGGGTTGGTGGAGATGGGTTGGTAGAGGTGGGTTGTTGGAGATGGGTTGCCGAAGATGTATTGGTGGTGATGGGGTGGCGGAGATGGGTTGGCGGAGTTGGGTTGGCGGAGGTGGGTTGATAAAGATGGGTTGGTAGAGATGGGTTGGTGGAGATGGGTTGGTGGAGATGAGTTGGCGGCGGAGATGAGTTGGCGGAGTTGTGTTGGCGGAGATGGGTTGGTGGAGATGGGTTGGTAGAGATGGGTTGGTGTAGATGGGTTGGCGGAGATGGGTCTTGCGGTCTGAACAAACGGTAACTTAACTTTTCATAATCGTCTTCCCTTTTCCTTTGACGGTTATCTCCCATTTACATCACTTAAGATACGATTATGGCTGTTGATTTTAGTTAAAATTGGGTAAAAATAAAATCTTGAAAAGTGCAGTTGAATATTTTAATAAGTGTTTAATGGGTGGTAATTTCATTTTTTTTTCTTGTCTCCCATTCAGATTTAGTTAAGTAAAGTAAGTATGTTCTTTGAGTCTCCCATTCAGATTCTACTCAAGTAAAGATGGTCCTCTAGTTGTCTTGTCTTTTCTGACTTATCGTCTGATGTTTCCAGTTCTTTGAATTTCTCAACTTCACTGCACGATTTAATGTCAAGGAATGCTTTCAGAAGTAGAGACATGAGAGCGTCTTCTAAGACTTTGTCTGTCTGCAGTCCGACAAGTGCGTCCTCTAGAGATTGTGGAACTTTCAGGGCATCAGATCTAAATTTATCCGGACACATCATATTTTGCTCGATCCCATCGATCCCTGCGGCTATAGTCGCGAGGAGAACAAGATACGGATTGGATGCTGAACTTGGGATTCTGTTTTCTATCCACACGTCATTTCCTATGACCTTGACATTAACACAAGCCGAGAGGTTGTCCACGTCCCAGGTCACGTGTTTTGGAGCCGTGACGTCAAGAACAAGACGGCTGTAGCAGTTGACCGTCGGGCAGCAGAGAGCCGTGAGACCAGCACCGTGTTGTAACATGCCAGACATCCAGTGCCGGGCCAGGGCTGGGGAAACAGTTATGTAAGTAATGGGAAGTGCCCACGTCACTTGACGTCATTAAAAAAAAAGTTATTTCTTATCATCAAAGTTACAGCTGATGAGCAAAATGTTATCCTTAAATAAACGTATGCATGAAACATAAATATTAACATTAATACAATAAATGTTATCCCAGACATTTATAGCTTTAAGAATGGTCAAAAAAGTTAATTTATCCCCCTATAAGGTTGATTTCATGTCCTTACAGACTTCTCAATAATCTAGAATCACCCATTTTTATACTCAAGCTGATTTATTAGGAGCTGAAAGAAATATTAAAAATATAAAAAATCAAATGTTGTTCAATTTGCTTTTTTTTTTCTCGACATACTCAAAGTTAATAGATTGTATGCAAAAATTTCTTTTCATATGTAGAAACTTCAAAGCTAAAAAAAAAAAAAGATTACAACTATTCACAGTTTTTATAGTATAGACTATGTCTTGGCCTAGTTTTTTCACTTCAACTTAGAGTTATTTTTCAACACCACCACGTGTATCCCCCTTGTTTGTTTCCATGTTGACGTTACCGATTAAATGGGATGTGGCAAGCCTTACCCGCCCCTTCATTGATTGGGAAAAGATCGTTTACGTTTGAAGACGCTCTATTTGTTTTAAAGAATGCTTTCAGGTGACGCAATTTCTACGATTTCTATTCTGGATAGTTCTGATATAACCCCTATGGGCCGGCAGCTTTCCTAGGCGAGAGGGAGATTTTTTGCTTTATTTCTTAACATATATGAGACATTATATAATTGCAAGATTTAACTCTTTATGTGCGTGTGTAAATTAATATTTGAATTCTTTTCGAGGACTGTACATTTTCACTAGCTGTCCTGTAAGTTGACACATTTTTTTGCTTTTTTTTTTCTGAAATTGAACTTGTATTTTTATGGCAATTCAAAAAGCATAATTAAATTGAATATTGTTGGTATTACTAACTTTGGTATCCTTTTCTTTACATACTGTTTTAGTTCTTTGCTAGGTTGTTTTTTTTTTTTTACTCTACGAGCCAAATTCTTAACACAGATTCAATTTTCAAACCCATACAATGGTTCGTTACACAGTTATTCAAAATGCTCTAAAACACCAAAGAAGCCAACACAACGCTAGTCAAAGATAAAAAAAAAACCACCATTATCGTCTGCCACCGTCTTACCTGAAAGCTTGTCGCCTGCCGTCTCGTCATGAAAGATGTTCCCACCAATGGCGTTGTGAGCCGTGAATCTGAAGGTGCAGCCCGAGTAAATATCCGTGCCGCACGGATGGGTCATGAAGGTGACCTGGTAGCCATGTTTGGCCATGACAGCCTTGAGCCCATGTTTCAGCCTGAACGCCGCGTCTGCCGCCTTGACTCCGTCAGAGACTCCAAGAGACATCTCGTATGAACCTAATAAACATAAATTAAAACTTGCGTTCCGTTTGTTTTCGTTAAAACGGTAACACGAACATTTTAAACGAATTAGACAATTAAATTTCACATTGCTACGTGTTCTTGGATAGTGACTCTTAACATGATGTTCATCCTTGGCATGAGAAGATGAACAAAGCATTGCAGAAGCGTAGCGTGGTGGGGGCAGGGGGGGACAGATGTCCCTGGGCGCCAGCTAGTTAGGGGCGCCAAAATGTGCTTTAATATTATTTTATTAATGAAAATAATGGGTTTTAGAGTTGAAAAAAAGAAAAAGGGGCGCTAAAAATGGATCTTGTCCCCGGGCGCGAATCTTGTCCCCGGGCGCCAAACACCCTCGCTACGCCACTGAAGCATTGTTTAGACTTGAGTAGCAGCCTTGGCTTGAGTAGCAGCCTAGACTTGAGCTGTGTTTTTTTGTTTATAATTTAAAGTGAGGGAGAGTCGCTCAATTCGTCAGCTCACACTCTCTCTCGCTCTCGTCCCTGCCTATTTGATCCAATAGGAAGAGTTAGTCGAGACGACTGGAAATAGACCAAGATGCAGTGGATGACCAGCCGAAGCTTAATGTAACGGCAATCTTGCAAGTCAAATTGATTTTACGGGTGAAAATTTGAAAGAATTGGTCGAGATCGGCAACGAGTCCATGTGCGAAGTTTAAGCTCGATAGGTTGACTGGCAGTTGGTCTATTGGGCGTTCGAAAATTTTGCCAACCAGCCAACCAGAAACAAAAGTAAAGTTAATAAAAAATATTTAAAATACTGAAACTGTTTCCCCAAACCTCTACACTATACATAACAGATGTGATATTTAAGTAATACAATTTTAGCTTCTGTTCCCCAACCATTCTCAGACCCAAATTGCTTTATATTTGTGAAAGGAAAATAATACGCTAAATAAAAAGCGACCCTAAATCTATTAAGTAACGCTATTTGTTTCTCGTTAAATACAACTTAAATTTAATTGAGCACAACTTAATTGAATGTTTTACTCGCCTTTCAAAAGTTGAAACACAATTAAATACAAAAAAAATTAAAATGATTACTCAAATGTAATTATTATAATTTATTGGCATGAATTCGTTTACAAGAAAAAAAACAACATTGTTTATATGCATGTTACCTGGCATGACACCTGAGGTCCAAGTCTCCACACTGACTCCAGCAAGTCGAAGTTGTTCACATGCATCTAGCATGATATTCTCAACGCCAATGTTGCTGTAGGTGGTGATGCTCTGGTGGTTATTGCCACCTGGAGAAAGTTACAGTTCGAATTCAAGCAAAATAAATTTGGAATGTTCAAGCACACTTTACGTTAAAGAAATATCGCGTATCTCATTTAGATATGCATGGAAAGGCCGGATTAACGTACAGACATGGAGGCACATGAATAGGGGCCCCATTAGTTTTAGGGTCCTCGAAAAAAGGGATCCGCTTATATGGGGGTACGGGAGGACCTGATTTGACCTTTAACGTACGTGATGTAATGTATATGTTATATACTGATGGTATGGGCAATATACTGATGGGACATATACTGATCGACAATATACTGATGGGAAATATACTGATGGGCAATATACTGATGGGTAATATACTGATGGTATGGGCAATATACTGAAGGGAAATCTACTGATCGACAACATACTGATGGGAAATATACTGATGGGCAATATACTGATGGGGAATATACTGATGGGCAATATACTGATGGGCGATATACTGATGGGCATCTTATGTTACGTAAATGGAATAGGGCATCCCACATTTACTCACCGAGAAACGAAACAATTTGACCGTCTTCCGACTTGAAAACTGTGAATTGTAGTGTCATCGATGATCTCAGCTTAAAGCCCAACAATTCCAACTTTTTGATTTGTCTCATGGCCTTGGATAAATAAATACGACCAAGACATAGAGACACCGATTGCTATTTCCCTGTTTTAATATAACTTACATTTAAGTACATTATACATGAATCTTACATTACTTTTATTGTATTATTTTTTGCTTACCGCCATTAAAATAAGATAAGATAAGATAAGATAAGATTCTTTTATTGATCCAAATAAATGGATTTTTTTTTGGATTGCATTATACATATTCATCACAAAAATAAAAGAATTTGAACACAAGACATTTATAATAAATTATTTCAAACAGCCATTCAGTCAGTTGTCTAAGCAAAATCGGGGACTTATTAGTTCTCATTCAGATGTGTGACTTCAGAGGAAGGACGCCGGTAAATTCCTACAGATTGGGGAACAAAGGAATTTTTATATCTGTCAGTCTTCGCCCTGATGGAAAGAATTCGTCCCGAACGGACCGATCCGAAGTATCTGTGATGAAGAGGGTGGGGAAGAGGGTGGGACGTATCATCCGAAATGTGTTTAGTTTTATAAAAGCATCTTTCTTCAAATAGTTCTTCAAATGAAGGATGTTTAGTTAGGGTTATATATTAATATTCTGTTTAAGTGGCTTTTGGTACTAAAGATGTTAAAGTCTCCGAGAATTTTCCTCACTTAGATAATTCATTATAAATATTTATTATCCTCACTCATTGTGCTTTTCATTTATTTTCCCTACCAACACAAAAGTGGTTGACCTACGAAGCGTTTTCAATATAAATATTAATTTTTTAAAAATATTTTAAAAAAATAATTTCCATTGGGGTAAGTTTTTAACATATTTAAACATTATTTTAAAAAACCAGGACCTATGTTTATTTTTAATTTTTTTTTATTTGCACATTTTTATTTCACGAAACACTAACATTTGACCATTGAAATGTGATGAAAGTTAAACTAGTTACTTTAAACACACACACACATTTGATTAAAAAAATAAATAGTAACAATTAACGTTAAGAAAATGAAAAATCCTTTAATTAAATAATACAGAGAGAATCGACAAAAAGTGGAATGGGCTGGAAAGAATTTATTTGGGAAAATGGAAACAATTTGAATATGGTAAATTCACCACTAGGGAAATCCTTCGTATGCATTTTTTTTAAATTTTGTTTCATATTAATATTCTAATGACCCATAATGAAGAAGGTACAGAAGATAGGACACATTTCTAAACTACTGCACTTCTGTGGCCGCGACTGAAGTCAACGGTTGAGTTCTAAAATTCAAATAACTCACGTTGTTTCTTGGCGACGTTGGCTCCGTGCGTCCATCTTCGTACAGCATGTGGCAGAGCACTTGACCCACACGACAGCCGGGCCTGGAGGCCCATGGCAGCTCGGCAAGTGTATCTAGGTCAGGGACGACCAGCCCATTACCGAAATTGCTGCCAAAAATCTCGTTTACGTGGCGGGGGAGGTCAGCTGATGAGCCCATCACGTGACAAACTGTGGAAGGGGGAATGTGATTAATGAATTTTTTTTCTAAAAAGAAAACTTTTGGTTATTAATCTCTCCCCCCCCCCCCAAAAAACTTTTGTATTGCAAGGGGTTTTGAAAATTTTTTAAATTTTTTTTTTTTTACCGAAATTGCTGCCAAAAATCTCGTTTACGTGGCGGGGGGGGTCAGCTGATGAGCCCATCACGTGACAAACTGTGGAAGGGGGAATGTGATTAATGAATTTTTTTTCTAAAAAGAAAACTTTTGGTTATTAATCTCTCCCCCCCCCCCAAGAAACTTATGTATTGCAAGGAGATTTGAAGATTTTTTAAATTATATTTTTTTAGGCTAAGGGGATTGGGACCAAACTTTCTAGGAGTCATCTAGAGGTCAGGAGGAATGATCTTGTCAGCTATGGTTGCGATCCATTTTAGGGTTTTCTTCTTATAAAGTGACCTATTAACAAACATAGTCACAATAAGGTTTCCTATTAACAAACATAGTCACAATAAGGTTTGTCATTTCTAGAAAACAGTAAAAAATTATATAAGTTAATTACATGAAGACTTAACGAATTTTTTAACTGTTCAGGTCATCATCACTCACTTGTTGGAAACTCCCAGCTCAGGCAGCGCCTGGCCACTGTCCTCGGTATCAGCTTTCCTCGGGGGATCCCATTCAAATCAACCAGAATGTATTGCAGGAGATCAAAGTCATCGATGGTCCACTGCTTGGACATCTTTAGGCTCTTTTCGATTTTAGAGGCTGATGGAGACGTCTGGATTTAAAAAAGTGATTCCTTTCCCTACTTGTTAAACACGTCAAGGACCAACGGTGGACATTATTTCACTCTAATATTAACTCATGATTCTAATGACATTAACGGTACATTGTCTTACAAGGATTCTCAAAGCGGGCTGTGTGATTGATGGCTGAAGGGGAGGGGGGGGGTAGTGAAATTTCTTGGATAGTTTTAGTGGGTGATGGGTTACAAAAAGGAGCGCGGGGGGGGGGGGGGGGTAATCAGGAAATTGCTTTCAAATCTATATAATCTATTCTTATAAAAAATACTAATGTGATTTTTAACTTTGAAACTCAGTCTCCCAATCTGACCTAAAGTAATACATTATTTTCTGACACACACAAAACAGGTCAAGCTTTCAAACAAGCGGATAACAACAACGATGGCGCAGCACTTTTGAGTATCCACGCAGGAAATTTCCATGTAAGTGTTTGTTTGTGTTTTTGGACTGTAAAAATTGATGCTTTAAAACTTTGCACACAACTGTATGATTTTGCACACGAACCAGCAACCCTTAGAGGGAACATTGGCAGTGGTTCTCAACCTTCCTAATGCCGTGACCCTTTAATAGAGTTCCTCATGTTGAGGCGAACCCCCCCTCCCCCACACACAATTTTATCGTTGCTACTTCATAACTGTAGAGGATATATGTTTTAAGATGGTCTTAGGCGACCCCTGGGAAAGGGTCTTGCGACCCCAAAATGGGTCGCAACCCACAGGTTGAGAACCGCTGATCTAGTGTGGTCAACTCCTCCAAAGACTGATTTTTTTACCATGGTTTTCTTCCTGGTTTTCGCTACTATTCTTTGTGGCTTTCATGGTTAAAATCTCAGCGATCTCCATCGCTAGCTATTTAGCCCCGTCATTATTGCTATGAACGCGTTACAACCCAATATGTTCACGGTCGTCCAATTCAGAAGCTCTGCGCTGAGAACCGAGAACACAAACGATCTTGAAAATGTGTTGGTCTGTAGTAGATTTCCGTTCAAACGTCAATGGTGTAAGTGTCTTTAGGAAGCTAATTAACAACTTTGTTATATATATTATATGCTTTAAAAAAACAACAACATTGGGACATCTAAGTGCTGAACTAAAATACATAAAACACACCATTGCTTGATAATCAAGATATTCAGACAATTCAGTGAAATGATAGATACATTTGAATTAACAGAAATTCAATCAATATTTAATATTGGGCTGAAAAAGAAGTTATATATATTTGTGATATTTTTGTATTAACAAACAAATATGTACTTACGGATGAGATGGTCTTGTATTACATCCACCGTACTTGTCACACGTTATCAACGTGTGCAGTAAGCTAGAGCTGAACAACTGCCAGATTTATTCAAATTGCCGTCACACTACGGCCTACTATCCAATGTGGCCCATAGTTTTCGAAAGTAGAACTTTGCCAGTATTTGAATAGCTCTATACTTAATTCTTTTTATTCCACTCGAGTAAAACAAATATCAGCTTTTTTGTTTAAATAAAGCTTTTATTTGCAATGGAAAAATGTTATGTTTTGAAAAGGTTGAATGATTTGTGAGAATATTTAGTAGCCAACATCAACACCCGGTGTTAATTCAATGTTCTGTTATGATATTCAATAGAACAAAAAAATAGTACAATTCTTGATGGCATGAAATTTACCCTCTGCTAATTTTGAGGAACTTATAGTAATAAATACTCTGGTGGAGTGTGATCTTAATCGTGCCTTTTGGCACTGGCTAGTACTTTGGCAACAAGCTCCATCTGACGCACAGGCTAGTACTTTGGCAACAAGCTCCATCTGACGCACTGGCTAATACTTTGGCAACAAGCTCCATCTGACGCACTGGTTAATACTTTGGCAACAAGTTCCATCTGACTCACTGGTTAATACTTTGGCAACAAGCTCCATCTGACGCACTGGTTAATACTTTGGCAACAAGCTCCATCTGATTCACTGGTTAATACTTTGGCAACAAGCTACATCAGACGCACTGGTTTGGTACTTTGGCAACAAGCTCCATCTGACGCACAGGCTAGTACTTTGGCAACAAGCTCCATCTGATTCACTGGTTAATACTTTGGCAACAAGCTCCATCTGACGCACTGGTTAATACTTTGGCAACAAGCTCCATCTGATTCACTGGTTAATACTTTGGCAACAAGCTCCATCTGACGCACTGGTTAATACTTTGGCAACAAGCTCCATCTGACTCACTGGTTAATACTTTGGCAACAAGCTCCATCTGACTCACTGGTTAATACTTTGGCAACAAGCT